TGTACATAAAGATAGCCAGCTGAAATTTTACTGTGACACTTGTCAAGTACCTGTATGTGTTGAGTGCACCATAGTTGAACACAGAGTTTCTGAACACGTACATAGAAACTTACAGGAGGTAGCAGATGAGTATAAAACACAACTGAAGGAAATGTTAGGACAGTTAAAAGTGAAAGAGAAGCAAGTGAAGGAAGAAAAAGTAGCAGCTGAATCTACAAGAGAAGAAATCAGAAAACAGTGTGAGGCAGAGAAAGAGAAAGTTAAGAGAAAGGCAAAGGAAGTGATAGAGAGAGTAAAGAGAGAAGAAAAGATGCTGATAGATGCCTTGGATGAAAATGCTAGGATGGGACTGAAAGATGCAACAATGAATATCAATGAGTGGGAATTTCACCATGGCAACATAGTCAGCACACATCATTATCTAGAAACACTGGTGCATCATGGGAATTCTGTACACCTACTATCTACCAAGTCAGAAACTACAAAGCGCATAAAAGAGATGGTTGCTATGGAAACAATACCACCAATCAGTCATGATATCATTGAGTTCCAGCCCAGTAGTGACTTTGCTGCACATGCATTAATAGGAGTGATCAAATCTGATGTCTGTCCATCCAAATGTACAGTTGAAAACATTCCAAAACAACTCATGAAAGGTATGCCTGTCAAACTGCTCATCACAACCAGAGATTTCAAAGGAAAAAAAATCATTCCCCGTCAAGATGTCCAGGTGAAAACAAAGACCCCTGGTGCATCATGGGAAAACATTGGCATTACAGACAATAACAATGGGACATATCATGTGATGATAACAGGAAAGACGGAAGGAAAACATCAAGTTGCCATGACGATTGGTAACCAACATATACCAGGATCACCATTCCATATTCCTGTTATCATAGGATTAGTACAGACAGTGAGAAACGCAGGAAGTGAAGGACAGCTCAGCAATCCTGTGGGAATAACCATAAATAAACATGGTGACTTTGTCACAGCTGATACCAGTAACAATAGAGTGGTCATACATTACAGAGATGGAAATTACAAACAATCATTTACATTCACTGGTCAGTTTGCAAAGACATTCAGACCATGTGATGTAGCAATATCAGATGATAATGAATACTTTATGACAGATTACAATAACAAACAAGTAGTTGTGACTGATGAATACGGAAAGTCAATTAGAAAGTTTGGAAACTCAGAAATGTATGAACCACGTGGAATTGCAGTTAACCCTGTTACTAAGAATGTGTATGTGAGTGAGTATAGTAAGCATTGTATTAGAAAGTATACACAGGGTCGTGTGTATATTAAGTCATTTGGGAAAAGTGGAAATAAGCAAGGAGAGTTCAATACACCTTGCTTGTTAGCTATTAACAGTAAAGGGATGGTATATGTGCCAGATTGGGGGAACCACCGTATTCAGGTATTCAATTCTGATGACCAGTTTATGTTTGAATTCTCTTCCACTGGTGACAGTAGAATGAGTCATCCAAAGGGAGTGGCTGTAGATAAGAATGATTATGTATATGTAAGCAGTAATCATAAAGTCACTAAGCATGACAACTATGGTCAGTTTATTTGCAGGATTGATAGTGACAAGGATGGACTGAGTTGGCCCTGTGGTGTAGCAGTGTGTAATGATGGTAGAATAGCTGTAGTGGATAACAACAATAAATGCATCAAAGTGTTTGTAGAGTGAGGCTAATTTTAAAGTTGGAGTAAATTGGAATCTACTGCCAACAAAGAAGCTTCACACTAGATGTACTCACATGTCAAGGGCAAATAAAAGTAAGGGTGGGTAACATTCTGAGAGATGACCTTCAAATCTTGTGATACAAAGTAATACACAGTGAGAAGTGTTTGTATGTGAAACACCACATGAATTCACATGATGTGATGTAATACACACAGTGAGAAGTGTTTCTCTGTATGTGAAACACCACATGAATTCATATGATGCGATGTAATACACACAGTGAGAAGTGTTTCTCTGTATGTGAAACACCACATGAATTCATATGTGATGTAATACACACAGTGAGAAGTATTTCTCTGTATGTGAAACACCACATGAATTCACAACATGTGATGTAATACACAGTGAGAAGTGTTTCTCTGTATGTGAAACACCACATGAATTCATATGATGTAATGTAATACACACAGTGAGAAGTGTTTCTCTGTATGTGAATCACCACATGAATTCATATGATGTAATGTAATACACACAGTGAGAAGTGTTTCTCAGTATATGAAACACCACATGAATTCATATGATGTGATGTAATATACACAGTGAGAAGTGTTTCTCTGTATGTGAAACACCACATGAATTCATATGATGTGACGTAATACACAGTGAGAAGTTTTTCTCTGTATATGAAACACCACATGAATTCATACGATGTGATGTAATACATATAGTAAGAAGTGTTTCTATGTGAAACACCACATGAATTCATATGATGTGATGTAATACACACAGTGAGAAGTGTTTCTCTGTATATGCAACACCACATGAATTCATATGATGTGATGAAATACACAGTGAGAAGTATTTCTCTGTATATGAAACCCCACATGAATTCATATGATGTGATGTAATACACACAGTGAGAAGTGTTTCTCTGTATGTGAAACACCACATGAATTCATATGTGACGTAATACACAGAAGTTTTTATCTGTATATGAAACACCACATGAATTCATATGATGTGATGTAATACAGTGAGAAGTGTTTCTCTATGTGAAACACCACATGAATTCATATGATGTGATGTAATACACAGTGAGAAGTATTTCTCTGTATATGAAACCCCATATGAATTCATATGCTGTGATGTAATACACACAGTGAGAAGTGTTTCTCTGTATGTGAAACACCACATGAATTCATATGATGTGACGTGATACAAACAGTGAGAAGTGTTTCTCTGTATATGAAACACCACATGAATTCATACGATGTGATGTAATACACACAGTGAGAAGTGTTTCTCTGTATGTGAAACACCACATGAATTCATATGTGATGTAATACACAGTGAGAAGTGTTTCTCTGTATATGAAACACCACATGAATTCATATGATGTGATGTAATACACAGTGAGAAGTGTTTCTCTGTATATGAAACATCACATGAATTCATATGATGTGATATAATACACACAGTGAGAAGTATTTCTCTGTATATGAAACACCACATGAATTCATATGATGTAATGCAATACACACAGTGAGAAGTGTTTCTCTGTATATGAAACACCACATGAATTCATATGATGTGATGTAATACACAGTGAGAAGTATTTCTCTGCATGTGAAACATCACATGAATTCATATGATGTGATGTAATACACAGTGAGAAGTATTTCTCTGCATGTGAAACACCACATGAATTCATATGATGTAATGTAATACACACAGTGAGAAATGTTTCTCTGTATATGAAACACCACATGAATTCATATGATGTGATGTAATACACAGTGAGAAGTATTTCTCTGCATATGAAACACCACATGAATTCATATGATGTGATGTAATACACAGTGAGAAGTATTTCTCTGCATGTGAAACACCACATGAATTCATATGATGTAATGTAATACACACAGTGAGAAGTGTTTCTCTGTATATGAAACACCACATGATTTCATACGATGTGATGTAATACACACAGTGAGAAGTGTTTCTCTGTATATGCAACAGCACATGAATTCATATGATGTGATGTAATACACACAGTGAGAAGTGTTTCTCTGTATGTGAAACACCACATGAATTCATATGATGTGACGTAATACACAGTGAGAAGTTTTTCTCTGTATATGAAACACCACATGAATTCATACGATGTGATGTAATACATATAGTAAGAAGTGTTTCTATGTGAAACACCACATGAATTCATATGATGTGATGTAATACACACAGTGAGAAGTTTTTCTCTGTATATGAAACACCACATGAATTCATACGATGTGATGTAATACATATAGTAAGAAGTGTTTCTATGTGAAACACCACATGAATTCATATGATGTGATGTAATACACACAGTGAGAAGTGTTTCTCTGTATGTGAAACACCACATGAATTCATATGAT